CCAATTAGATTTATTGGGTTGGTCCTATTTCGGGAGCTTTACTTGGAACATATGCCTATCACCTGCTGTTTGCAGAAAAACGACAAAGCAAGAAAGAATCTAATGATAAAAAGCTTAACGTGTAGATACATTTTATTTGAATAGTGCAATGTAATCATGTAATATGTATAACATACAGGGTTAATTTATTATATATCCAGTCTATAGATAAAACTATAGTATAATAATAATTTAATTTTTAATATTTTACTTGATAAACAATTACATAATTATAGATTATCATCTACTGGTCATGTTTTCTTCTAAGTAACTTCCAGTTGTGCTAGATGGCAGATGTATAATTCAACGATAATCTTAATATAATGACTTTTTCTCATTTATTTAACATTTAATATTGGATCCGTCTAAAAATAAAAAATTGTTGAATGTGATCATACACATTTTAATATAATATAATATTCCAGTTTTTTCTCATATTTCTAATATTTGTAAAAACAATTTATTTATTGCTATTTAACCGATAAAATACATTACTAATATGATACAAATTCTTTTTTTTAACAAAGAAGCCTATTCTATAAATAAATGATTTGCACTATAACTACTTGATATCGATTGTGGTACATGAATCGGCTGTAGACAAAGAAGATCTGCGCCGCGTAAGTTGCGCAATGTTCCTATTATATTTGTTAGATTAGATAGAAAAAAGTTAATAAATATAAAAATGTTTAAGTTTATTTTTATACTTTCTTCAATAGTACATCCATCATGTTTGGAGATACAATTCCCTTCGCCACTTAAAAATAAAATATCCGAGTGGGTAAAATCTAATAAGGTCGCAGTGCATCTTGGATGATGCTTCGAGAATATTAAAAGATCTCACGCTGAGTTGTGCATTATTTTTATCTCATTATTTTTAGAATTCTGTTTCTTCCCTCGAAGCAAAGGTCTAAAAGCTGAAGCTTAAAGCTTTACATGTTTATATACAGAGACACTCGATTTTATTCGCTGTGACGTTTGATTTTTCTATTGTGAAATATTTTTATTGTAAATAAGAATACAGAAAATTCTATATATTTCTGTTATCATTTCCACATAAATTCGCATAAGATAATGTTACAAACTAATAGTAATGAAAAATTCAAATTTTTCTTAAACCTATTATTTGTTATTACATTTTACTCCTGTTCAGATGAGTACAAATGTATTCAGTATAGCGAAACAAATCAGTGCTATTTATACTTCTAGTTAATTCTTACCAACTAAAATAATATATAGTCTAAATCTCTGAACTGTTAATTGACGTGGTAATATTTTGCGAATAAAGATCTCCGACGGTTCGCACGACGATCCCTGCGTAATCCGCGGCATGGCAGCTCTCACAGGATTGCGCAATTTCTTCCGTAATTTGTCCGGTGGATACGTCGGGATTTGCACCGGCCGGGCCGGGCGAAAACATCGTAACCGGCGAAGGTTCATCAACCTTCACCCAGCGACACACTCTCGCCGGCTAGGACTTGGTCACGGATGCGATCGATAGCGAGCGGGGCGTTTCGTCGACGTTTCGAGAAACACGCCGCCCCAGGCCGCACCGCGTACATCCCGGGACTCGAAAACGCCCTTGTTGCCTAGCTCCCGTGGAAAAAGATATACCTACTTGCAGCATTGTCGCGTCACAAGTGTCAAACCAGGCAGATCGTTTGCTAACCGGCCGGCCGGCTCGACCGGTTGGTCCGGCTTGACACGACGGCCGGCCGCGCGCGACCGGAATCTCCGGGTCTAGATTTGATATTTCGAGTATATCCGCCGGTGTATCCCGACCCCGGGATACAAAACATCATTCTCGACGTGACTGCCGAGTTCAAGGTCGCGGCGGTGCCGGCGAAGCAAACTAAAATTAGTTCAGCGGGCAGGGCAGGCAGGTTACCCGTCCGCTCGGGGAAGCATATGACGCCGCGCGAATGAGAGTTCGTTATTTATGTAGCGATCTGATGAGGGTTGACCGTGGTGCCGCGATGGCGAGAGGAGAACTTTTATACAGCCCCCGGGGTCTCCGAGGGAGAGAATATTGCGACGTAGTCGCTCTTTCGTTCCCCGCCGGCAGATCGAAGTTCTGCGCCGCGGCTCGTCGATTATGGGTGGGGCAATTTTCGTCCCTGTTGCGTAATAGACGTTCACCCTTCGCTATCCCGGCTGTGCGATCAAGTATAAACAACTTGTTGGGTTTAATATAGATGAGAACCCGAGGAAAACTGTCTAACTTTGTATCGAAGCTATATTCTTCATTCTGACAACATTACAAAGCTGTATATTTTGTTGAAAAAAAAAAATACTTGAGTTTTTTTTACACTATAATGGTATACCATTATAGTGTAAGGCTTTAATTTACGCGTAGATATTAATATCAGAGTCGCAAGGATAATAAGATTTTTTTTTTAATAGCTTGCGACGAAGTTATATCAATCTTTATCGCAATTCCTATTTTTATCACTGGTAAACACAAATCCGTGGAGAGGGGAAATAATGCACGAAACGTATAATCGATCCGTTTATTTTGCTGGGTCGGGGACAGCGAACATTTGCGCACTTTCTATACGTTACATCTATATAACTCGCTTCGTGCATCTATCGATTAGCTGCTGCAGCTGTGCCTCGAATGTTCTAGAACGTTCGGTGGAAAGCACCGAAACTGCAATATCTGCGATTTCTCGAATCCGTTATACCTGTAGATATCTGATAAGGAAATCAATTGCTATTACTAATTGCTGAGATGTAAGCTGTCACTGTCAACCACGCAGTGTCAAATTATACTCAATTTGAGTCACTTTTAACCGTATCTATAGGTCGTCACTGCTCCTACTCAAAATACGTCGTTAATTTAACTAAAACAATGTTAATTTAATTAAACCAACAGAGTTAATATAATAAATTTTGACACACATGGCAGTTAAAAATAACAAAGTATTATTTAACTCAATTTATTAACTCAAGGTTTAAAATTTATTCCTTAATATTTAACAGTGTTCGCATATTAAAAAAAAATGTGTGGAAGTATACAGAACGTATCTATTATATACCTGAGAAAAAAATTTTTTAGATCCAAGAAAATATTTCTTTGAACATATTTACTTAATATATAATCACATATATTTATTTAGAATTATATATCTTTACTTAAATTAAGTAAAAATATCTAATTCTAAATAAATATGTGATTATATTTAAGTAAATATGTTATTAGTACTATTCAAAGAAATATTTTCTTGGATCTAAAAATTTTTTTCTCAGTGTACGTACTTGATGAAATATTATTCAATAAATTTTTTTGCAGAGCTATATTACTGTTTGCGGACCGCTCGCAATCAGAACGTGAAACCACATAAAAACCACACGCTATATTAGTTTAAATTTTATTCCTCAATATTTAACGGTGTTCGCATGTTGAAAAAAAAATGTGTGAAAGTACACAGAACGTATTATATGTACTTGAAGGAATTTATTATTCAGTAAATTTGCCGAGCCATATTACTGCTTGGCGACCGCTCGCAATCAGAATGTGAAACCACATATAAAAACCACACGCTTGGTGATATCGCCCGTTCTAAATTTATTTACTTACGAGCGATGCGCCGAGTAAGAAATTTGAACTAGGATATTCGAGGTATATCGCGAGATCGTCGAATTACACACGACATTTCCTAACTGTAAATGCATTTCTTTGTAATTAATCGTTTTCCTGAGATCGGATAGAACGTGCTCTCAATTTTCTAACTGTGTCGATTTGTTCCAGTGACCTGTCAGAATCAGAAAAAAAGGCTACATCAGTGGGAAAGGTGTACCAATTGAGAGTCCGTTCGTTAGCGATGTACGCTAACTGTATACACCGCAATCTTCCGACGTGTACCGAGACAAGAGATCGCCGAGATCGGCAAGAAGAGAGACGTCGCGTTGAGAAAGTTCCCACAGATCATCACGCCCGTTCCCGTTTAATGCAACATAGTTGGCAACCGTCCTCTACCGTCGCATTTCATTACGCCGCTCTGAATGACACCTGAATGTAACGCGGTATCGCACGGCGCATTGTGCATATTTCTATGAAGTGAAGTATACAAGTAGTTCTCTCCGTTCAACCCTTCCGTCGGAGCTTAATCCGCCGGTCGTTGTTAACGGCCAACAAAAAGACGATCTCGCAGGGAGAGATAAGTATCTAGCGCGCGCGCGCGCGCCCCTCATATATGTATCTCTGAATAAAATTGCATTAATTGCGTCTACTTAAAATGGAGCGGCCTTTGTGGATACGGCCGGGCTAACGAGCAATATGAAAAGGAAATCGATAGAGCGGCACACGATACACCGAGGGAGAAAGAGAGAGAGGAACCAACGTAATGTTATGCAACCCGGTTGTAACGCCGGCACGCCGCTACATTATACGCCGTTGCCCGACGATCGCGCACCGCCGAAACCGTTGCGATCTCTAATGCGCGCGGATTCATTTATCTCCTCATTTTTTCCTCCCCCCCCTCTCTCTCTCTCTCTCTCTCTCTTCACGATTACGCGTCTCCGGGCATAGCGAGGATCGTCCCGGCGACCCACATCCAAATCGCGGCGCGAGGCGGGCTGGCGTTATGTTGCGTAATGTTTGCGTCTCCGATTGTTGCCGACCATCTCGCGCTCGCATCGAAATTGCTCACTCTCACGCTCTATCGCTCTATCGCCGCCCGTACCACGCCGCGAGTGAGTCCGGGGGCCCCTTGAGCTCCCTCGCGTGTTTGCAAACACGCGTCGTAGTGCGTCGCAGGCCGGCTGGTCTCCCGCGACCGCGCCTCCAAATGTCGTAAAAATAGCCGCTGTCGCTCGCCTCAACTCAAGAGCTGATAAAAAAAGAAAAAAAAAGAGGAACTACGCCGGGGACGACCGCAAGGTCAACCCGCGAGCTGCCTGCGCAGCACGGAAATCCCACCACGAACGTTTCCCCGACGACCGAAGAAACTGCGTTTCAGCGTTTCGGCGTGGCGCACGCACACGCGATTTCGCAATGTTGGACGATGCGTAGCGTCTCCCCCTCCCACCTACCCCACCGTGGTACCGTGCGGTTACAAAATATTTACGAAAACAACCGGTCTAATCGCACCACCGCAGTGATAACGGCCTCTCTATCTCTCTCTCGGCGATAACAGAATCCTCATTATCGCACGTTGTACAGAGCGCGCATTTTGTCACGCCCTGGAATGTTTTCTCTGCGACATAAATCAATCATCCTGCGAACGTAATTCCTCGCGTAATTCCTTCCGTGAGTAAATATTTCGGATGGACACGAGGCGGGCCAAGGTTACAGGTTCCCCGCGCGGTCGCTTCGTTACGCAATAAGCCTCAAAACATGTCCGTATTTCTTTTTTTCCTATCCGGGTCCTCTGCCGAAGGCAGGTAGGTACAGCTCATTCGAAATACGAAACAAATCGACGCGCACATGAGACCGGCGCGGAGCGGCGGTTGACGAGAAGCAAGCTACGCCACGTTATACAAACGGCATGGGCATTATATCACACACACCGGTGACTGTACTAATGGCGGCGGGGGCGAGAGGGGAAGCGGCGGCATTTTCCTTGTATAGGTTGGGCGTTATGGTGGGGTCCCCCCGCCCGGTCGAGCTGAGCGAACGTGCCAGAAATCCCGTCGTCCCTGCCGGCTGCCGGCCGGGCGTCGATCAATACTCGGCATTTGCTGATTTTCCGGCTATGCCGTGAAAAAAATGTCGCGATCAACGTACCGATCGACAGATCTCGTCGCGACGATGCCGATTACGACAATGTCGTTGGGGCCGGGTGCCGCGAAAGGCCCGAAACGATCGATCGCGCGGAATTGCGCATTACGAGCGAGGAGACGCCGCCGGTGATCTCGAAGCTTCCTCCGCGCGCTGCGGCGACGCGGCGCGCGCGCCTATATAAAGCGGCCGGCCGGCCAGCCGCGGCGCATTCGTAAACAAACCCTGGTTCAGTTCGGACGCTGCGAACACCCGAAGACCCCCTTCACCCTCCACCATCAGTGTAACACACTTCGGCTTCTTACTTCGTCGAGACCGCCGGCACGGGAAAATGTAGGCGAGCGGGCACCACGGTGCGGAGCGCGACAGTTTACCGTAGGTATTCCTATATACCCCCGAGTTTTCGGGTTTTTCTTTAATTCTTTCCTCTTGTTCGCTTGATGATACTCCAACGCGATCGTTTGATTCATATCCCAGCAAACAAGAACTATAAACGGTGCGTCTATATTGTTTCACACTCAACAATGCAATTGCGGTGTAACGTATGTTATACATTGTTGAGTGGGAAATAATAACATTGACGCGATACTGTTGGTTGAGGTTTGCTGGGGTTGATCTAATCCTGGAAAACATTAAGTAACATGCAACTTAGAACTTCCTATTCAACAAATGCGACATACACATATGTTATATTGTACTTACAGTGTTGAGTAGGAAATTTATAATTTGCATGGTATTTGCTGATATTAGATTTAGTGTATAAAATTTTATCGTATTAACTTTTATTGTAAAAGTAATGAAGAGATGGTTGAGGTCACAGTTGCACTCAGTTATCTCTCTGGACATTTAAAAGGGAAACAATTTATTTGCTGTAAATTATTGATAATGCGATTGGAAAGCAGTAATACTAAGGAAGATAAATATATAAATTATATTATGATGCTTAACATTTTGGTATTTCTTTTTTTTTTTTAATTGACAATCTAAATTCCAGTTATACACACATGTAAATTATATTATTAGAAATTTCTCTCGGAAATTAGTTATCTCTCTTTTCAAATTAGGATTGAAGAGACAAGGAAAGAAAATCAATTAAACTGAAGCTAAAATTAAGTTGATTATGCTACTCTGATAACTCGATTGAAAATTATAAATAAATTTTATGCAATTTTAAGGTATCATAATTTATATCATGTAACAAAATATATGTATATTATGCATTAAAAAATTATATTTTGGTAAAATATTAGAGAACTATTATGTACGGCACGATTCTTTCGTTCTACAATATTGCTTTGCTATATCCAGAATCGAGAAAGTAAAAGAATGAAGTGAAATGTCGGAATGAAAGTTTCGGACAATGAATTCCTTAGTCGGTGGTAGTGGTGGTCGTAGTAGTAGTAGTAGTAGCAGCAGTTGTTTCGACGGGAACCGGCTTGGCAGCTGGTACTCCCGTTTGAACAATGTTGACGACTCTTTCCGTGCCAGCCGGCGTCATGTTCTGAAAAACATATGTACAGAAATAAGCCTCGGATGCCCCGATAAGCGAATTATGAGAGGTATGTTTGTGTTTTTTTAGTGCGCCCTACGGGGTCGGTGCTTGAACAATCCGTACGCGACGATAACAGCCGTGATTAGAATTTGTGAAATTCCTTCACGCTTCGAACAAATATGAGAAGAGAACTGCGATAATAGGTAAGCGCGCAAGGTGTCTAGACGATAATATATTATATGCATTAAGTTAATAGGATTATGTGTCTGAACAATGAATTTAAATAGTTAAAAATACGACGATTAAAATACGTCAATGTACGAGGCATATAGTGCGGATAACAAATGCGGCTTTGAACTGTTTTATTCTACTATGTGATATATACACTACTTATGAACTTTATATATTCGTATCATCTGCAAAAAAGAGATCTCTACCCCGATAATTTTATTAACTTTTACACGTCAGAATCATCGCACAAGAGAACCGTAAATTTACAGTCAAAATTTAGATATAGAGAATTTAAAATTTAATATATTAAATATATAATTAATTAAATATATATATGTATACATTTGCAATCAAATGCACTTTATGATACTTGACAGCTAAAAACTAAGAAAGATGATGTAAATGAGCAAAAAAATTAATTATCGATAAATATCAATAGTGATAAATTAATCGATATCGATCAATATCGATAAATCGATAAATTACATAATAAATTAAAACTGTGTCACGTTTGATGAGGAACACTCGACTGTCGGTTAAGTGTCATCGATTTTAACAGAATTCAATTTTTGAAACTCACCGGAAATGCAATTGCTTTTAAATCTGGGGACATTTAAGGGATTAAATATCGAGATAAGGACACCGTTTTGTCATCGTCGTCTTTTCGCGGATAGTTTGTCATTCGCTTTTGCATGGTATCGCCGAGTTTCAGGAACTTGCTTTAAAATCGACACACGCTGATCTAACGAATATACCGCGAATGTCCCTCGTCCACGCGCAAAGACTGCGCCCCTGAATTCCGTACGTTAACGAGAGATATTCTGTTTTGTAGTTTAGAGCAGAGCTCGTAGTGTTTGATCCAAAACCGTCGGCACCATCTGCCTCCTCTAGTACTGCACACTGAGGCGCAGCATTGGGAACGTCGGAATCGAAAAGCAAAAGCCAAATATGTAACGTAAGCCGCATCAGCTATAACAAAGACGAGAGAGGGGAGAGGGAGCGAAAGAGCGAGAGAAGGGAGCGATAGAGGGAGAGAGAGAAAGGGCTCCGTTCGTTCGCGGTTGAATCCGCGAATGAGGGAGCTAGGCGGATGTTAACGCGGATTGTCTCCGCTCGGTCGAGCGTACCTTTTTGGGCGCCGTGATAGTTAGCACACCATCCGAGGAGAGGGTCGAGGTGATGTTGACGAGGTCGTGAGACGGAGGTAGGACGTATCTGCGTACGAAGTGTCTGCTGATGTAGCCGTGCTCGTCCTGCTTCTCCTCGTGCTTGGCCTCGACAACGACGTGATTGTCGACCGTCTTCACCGAGATTTCGTCCGGTGAGAATTGTTGCACGTCCAGTATCACCTGCGGATCAGAGAGCGCAGCCCCGCGGGAAGGGGGCTTTTGTCACTTAGCTTCGCTCAGGATCCCCTCTCGTCCGTCACCGAGGAATAGAAGTCTCTCGCATTTCTTCCGTGAGCGATCGTAAAACAGCCGCCATGCATCCGTAATGCGAAAGTTAAGTATCAATATCACTCCCGAATGAGCTTACTCCGAAAAATGATGGTCGATTTTTGAGAGCAATAAGACCCACCACTCTTTTCTTACACCGCGCGAATTAGTGTTTCTTTAATTTTGATGTTACGTTCTTGCTTGATTGAATTTTCGTCTGGAAGAGGATCTCGAACGCCGCTGTGCATATTCTAGCGCACATTCTAAATCCTAAAACATCGTACGCGTTAGGCGAGCTATTTCACGCACAATAATTCCGGCTTACCATCTGAAACAGCGCTTCGTCAGATAAATCTCACATTCGTCCTTTTCACACCCTCCGCGTTCAAGGAATCGCCGATCAGGCCCGGTTGTTGGAGTTTCTCCGCGACGAGCGAGGAAAATGACAATTCAGCTAACGTTCTAGATCCTATCCCGACCGTCAGATAAGAGCATCGTAAAAAATAATATTTTCTTCTCGTCTCGATTCACTCATATGTAACCCGCGTTTATTTAGATTATTGCACGTTATGGTACAAAAGCAAACTGGGAAGATGTAGTTGTCGGCGCACCTACTTGTGTGAAATTGTTCCTTTTTTTTTTTACGATCAAAAAAACGAGCACACATACAAGTAGGTGATTTGCGGTCCTTTGCGACCGCCGGGGCGGCTCGCTTCGGCGAGAGAGGAAATAAAATTCCTTCATCAATAAAAACAAAACAAAACCAAAAAAAAAACAACAAAAAAACAGAAGAGAGAGGTAAACAACATTTTGACGAGAGGAAGCTTTAACAACGTATAAGTATAGTGAGGCAAGCGTGCCCGAGTTTCTCCGGGTGATCCTGCGTGATCCTGGAGCTCGGCGGCGAACGCGAGCGCGAAGAGATTAGCGGAGGATAACTGGCTGTGTATTTTTGAAAATAGTACTAAAAGAAAAGAAAAAGTAGGAGGGAGGAGGAAGAAAAGGTTTGCTGAGCGACCGCTCCGCGGACGGTCGGCTCGAGTGTTGCGCGCAGACATATTTTGTACAAATAAAAGAGATAGAGAGAAACGCGAGTTCCGTGTAAGAAGGAGAGAAAAAAAAGCACAAAAGTCATTTTGTAAGATTCTATTGTTGTGGGTATTCAAAAAGCATTTATTTTTGTATAGAGATTATAAAAACAGGGCGGGGGATCGGGCCCCGTGGGTCCCATTCGCGTGAGCGGCGCACCCTTTGAAGGGGTGCGTCAGCGCTCGTGGGGGACGGCACGAGCCTCGGTTCTTCCATTCGAACAAGACTGACTAAGCGCGAGACGCGATACATCTACTCTTTCGGTTGCATATTTTATTCCGTGGCTGCTGCGCGCGATTTCTCGCGCGCGAACCCTCAACGAAAAATCATAAGACGTTAATAACGAACGGCATAGTAGTCACCTCGGACCCTGCGGCAGGCAAACCGTGCGCGCGATTGCGCGAGGAAAAAATATCGCGGAAAGAGAAGGAAAAGTAGAAGTAACAAAGAAGAAATATACATACATACATACATACACATATTATATATATATACACACACACAATACGATTAAAGAAGGGGGAGGTAAAATGAGAACTGTGGTAAAACTGTGATTTTATAGAGATTCCGAAACCGGCGTGACTAACCGGAGATCGTGCAGCGCGATCGTCCTTTTTTTGATACGCGTACCTTTCGTAGAACATTTTCGGGCAAAACGAGAAGGATAATTGGTCCCTTTAGACTGAAATCTGCTAACATCGTGACTATTACTATACATTGCACAACTGGATTATGTCCAAATAGGGCGATTAGATGAACTATCATACCGTAGGAGAAGCTAAATTCTTTTCGGCACAAACGAAATCATTGTAAAAGGGGACAGATAAACGCCGTGGATGTTTTCTTGACGAGCATTAGATTATTCGAACCTTTGCGGGGAAGAGGAAAAAAAGAAAAAGAAGTAATAAAGAGAAATAACTAATAAAAGAGAGCAAAACAGAAGGAAAAGTCGTCTCTCCAATCCGATTTACTCGCCCTCCCTCGTCCAGAGGGAGGTGCAAAAAACGCCCCCTATCCCTCCCAAAAAATAGTCCTAATCGAATACTCGTTTCACCATCCCTATCCGTCGAAAAATCGAGTTGCCGCCCTCCCGGTTGATTCGCGATCGCGCGATTATGAAAGCGTAATTATGACGCGTTATGATGCACAATGTATGCATGGCACAACGATAGAGACAGCGGCAACCGCAGCAGATGCAGTCATCAGTTTTTCGGGCCTTCTGGTGTTCCGGAACTTTTTCGTTCGTTGCTTTTAACCATTCTTACCGAGCGTTGAGTTTCACCCGTCCCTTACGTTTAGTTTCATCCCCTGCCGCGGTTTCTTTTTCTTTTTAACGGCTGATTCGTTCCCTTCGAAAGTAACGTTCGAGTAGATAGAGTCTCTATTTCGATTTTTCCGTTAACACCTTTTTTCTCCCCTCGTTCTTCCTTTCCCTTCCCTCCCCTCTCCTCCTCCCATTCCCTCCCCTCCCCTACTCCATCCCTTTTAATTTTCTTTCTTACGAATGCGCCCTTTTGTCCTTTCCTGTTACGCCACTTCCGTCATCTTTCATCATTTGTCTCCTGCGACTTTTCTATATTTCGAAATCTAATTACGATTCGCTGTTCGTTTTTTTGCTAGAAGATAACGTAAACGAAAGTATCTTCCCCTATAACTACACTTATTAAATATTGTACTTTTTTTTCGTAGGATATCACTTGAGGCTCTTTGTATTCGACACAAAATTTGTTTTGCGTCCGATGCAAATCGCGCTCGAGTTACCGATACCAAAATAAGGAGTTAAGAACCGCTAAAGAGTTTAAGTCGTGTCTTAGCCTAAGTTGTTAGCACACTCACAATTGAGCACATTCCGTTCGTTGTTGCATCACCGAACTTTCTCGAGGAAATAAATGTAATTGTAGCACAGAGTGATCTCGAATTCATGAATTTAGAACTGTCAGGTGAATCAATGTTGCACGCACGACAAAGTGCGAATGTAATTTGATGAGCCGAAGACCGTGCAAAATTCGTGAGTTTCGGAGCTTTTAGGCAAGTTACATATTCGACGTAAACAACCAATAATACAGCACGAAAAAGATCGTTACTTCAGACCGTGACTAAGTTATCGCACACAGCGAACGTGATTATATTTTATTTGTTGTTGCATTACCGAACTTCCAGAAAAATAAGATAAATAACGATTACAGCATAACCCTACTTACCGATGTGAATAAAATTTATGCTAAAAAATATAAAAAAACTGCTTGTGCTGATAATTTATTTTTAATATACTGATTACGTAATATTTTAGTTCGGGGGTAAATATGGATGGTAATAATGATTCAGGCAAAAGAAAATTTGATAACACTGCTCTAGGAGGAGGGAGGATTGATCTGAAAAAAATAAATCCAAGGAAATTAGATGATTTTACAGACATGATTAAGAGACGTGAGGAGGAAGAAAAGAAAAATCAATCAGGACAGCAGTGATCAGGACAGCAGTTAGGGTTGGGTTTAGGATTGGGTTTGGGGTCATTAACGATAATTTTATGTTAATTAATGAGGGAGGTGGCGTTATGCATAATAAAAGTGAAATAAATCGAGAATTAGTAAAAGCGTTTAATTAAGAAGATAGTGGCATTTCTTCGGCATTCGCTTTTGCGAATTTATTTTAGGCGTGTCGCGACACACGCTGTATCACGGCGAATAAACACGTATCTATAGCTTGCGTATGTAAAATTAAACTTATTGGGCGACTGATGTATATTAATCGATATTACTGTCGAGTTACTAAGTTACGCTAGATCCGAGGCGCGATAGCTGAACGATCTTGAGGATCGGGAAGTAGCAAACCTCGCGGACGTTTTATCCAGTGTGAAATTAAACGAAAGGTCAAATATCCAACGACGTCTTATAATCAAAAGGATAATATCGCCCTTTATCTGCACTCGAACCTCTCGGAAAGAGAGAGAATGAGAGAGAGGCAAAGAAAGGGAGAGAAACATTTTGTATAAATTGATCAGACGATTTAAATTGATTCGCGATACTCTCGGACGCGACAGCAAGGCATACTATACTGATTCCTGGATTCTCGACTTGTCTACTATATGTTTTAGGATAACTGCAAGCGTAAGATAATCGATATACCCCGCAGCGCGTGTTAATCCTAAGCATTAATCGCGTGCATATCAGCCCGAATTGCGAGCCTTACATGGATTTTTCTGACCAACACACTCGTAAAGCCGTATAATTCTTTGATCCGCTCCGTGCTCGGAAACGCAACGGCTATTGGTTCGTAATTTTTCCGTAATCTGAGGAAGCTAGGTATGTCCAGCCAGCTGTGGACAGTTCCGCGGCGTTACAACGACTAAAAATACGCGAAAAACCCGTCTAAAAATAAACACGTTTGCATCACACTCGCATTCGGGGCATTCCGTGGTAATTTTAACGCGCGTTGCTTCTTGTTTACGCTTTCTTGCCGCACCACAAAGTCATATCCAACGACAAACGCACATTTAACAGGAAAAATATTACGAATAATTTTACGTGTCATTTTACGCGATTTTGAGATTACGCGACAGAAGGAAGCTTCTTCCGGAAACTAAGAGCACACGTGTAAAAGCGGCTTGCAAAAATTATAAGCAATTTAGTATAACGATATTCTTCTGAGGCGAAATTAGCGGTGAGATTTTGAATTGCAGATCAATCGAAAAGTGATAACAGTCTTATTGTCCATTTGCATTATCGGTTATTATTATTCTTGAGTTATTATTATCGATTATTACGTAAGAGCGAGATTGAATATTCCCTGAACTTCTATTAGTTCTGAATAATTTTCGGCCAATTCCCATCTTTCGCAGGATCCTGGCTCTATGATCTTCGTCAGGATCCTGCGAAAGACGGAATTGGACCGTTACACAGCAGTACTTCCGCCCTATAATATATCTTAAGTAAGCTTTTAACACTTTCCTGACAAAAACTCAATAACTCTACGATGGAAAATTTGATCAAAATCAACCAACGTCTCACGAATTAAATACACGATACGTGAATATAATTTGCAAGATAAAATTGATTTCGACAAAAAGATACGTTACTTCGGCTTTGATAAGTCCGCCTGATCGCAAGACCTGCGCGTTACTAGGCTAAATTAATGCGTAATGCATAATTGAATATATACATGGACATACTAGGATATAGGTATTAAGACGACCAAAAATAATAAGAGGAGTTACTGGGCCTAAGCAAAATTATCCTTGTAATGTAAGGTTTATAATTTAAGGCCGTCTTTCGTGTTTCGCCACGAACAGATGAAACGACAAATCGAATGCTAAATGAACAGAAAAAGTAGCAAAGACCATTTTCACAGTGGAATGTCACGTAACATGGACGAGCACGATCGCGAAAAAGGACGTATTTTCTAGCTTGACAGATTCCGTACATATTCTATCGCTCTACCAATCGATGCAATAAATCGAATAAACTTCTAATATTACTTCTCTAACGAACGGGAAACAAATAACAAGCAGACATACACTCAAAACCCTGGCAAATATTAAAAGAAACAAAAATAGTTTGGCAATAATTTTTTGAGTAAACCTTTTGAGTAACTGCATATTAAAAATAGAAAAAAAATTAAATATATGAGATTTTGTGTTCTTGATAAAATATTTGAATATGAACTACAAAACTCGACTACAAAACTAACAAAGTCTCAGTTGAAAAAAGTCATTTTTCAGTAAAATTGAAAAAATTTATCTTTACACCCATTGAAATAATCGTGAATAAATTAAAATTGAAGTAGAAATATAAAGTCTTCCAATATTTCGATGCTCCATTGTGCAGGCGACATAGAACAACAAGCTAAAAATGTTATCCTGTTCGCAAAGAGCCACATTTAGACCTAATTCAAAATCATAGAGATCTGCAAAAGAGCGAGAAAAAGATACACAAATTCACTTTCGATCTGATTGCACCGTGTAATGTTGAGCCCGTTTCGTTGGAGTTCAGTATCGCAAAGTCGTTCTATAAACACCAACCTGGAAAGTATCATTGTCCAACTGGATCGTGCTGGTTCCGCTCGAATTTTGTCGCGTCACGTTCCCCCATGGTCGGTAGTATGGTCTATTCCCGAAGATCGAGCGTAGGGGTGGCCGATCGATGCCGAGTCCGGTGAGACTTGAGATCAGATCGTCGCGGTGGAGGCCGGTGCCGAAGTGCTGGTCCAAAAGCCGTGAGACGGGACGGTCGAAGTCGTCCCACCAATTGCGGAAAACTAGCGGCACGATCGACATCTGCAAACATCAGCGCGACAATCGGTAACGACCGATCGGTGCTTTTCGCTTGATCTTTAAAAATCCCATCGGAAAACAAAAAAAGAGAAGAGCATTTTCAAAGGAAATTGAAAAGATAAAATATAGACAGCCCGGGCGAGAGACAAGAGTGAATGAAAACCGAAGTAGAGAGAGACCGAAGTAATCCAAAGTAAGTGATAGACAGTACACGATTAAATAGTAACCACAGCGGCGTATGCATCTAATTCTAAGTTTTAAGCTACGTAAGCTAGGGTACGCCAAGATAACCGATAATATTATTAATCGTTAGTTCTCACGTTAATATTCTTGATCGGGCGGTATTTAAGAATTATCGTTAAGCAGATAAATTAATCTTTTGGAATTACTCTCGAAATACTATTAATATACAGTTCTAATTTGCAGGCATTTATATACGCGATCTCAATAGATGAAAATTTATCATGCGAATCTTACAACGGCCGAAACACATCGTAGTTACAAAAGACTTACCAAGTCATCCATTTCGGAGTGGATGAGTTTTCGAGGTGAAATGCATACAAAATGCGCATTAATAATATAAAAGTCACAATAAGCGTGGAACGTGTTAATAATATAAAGGTTACAATAGCTACGGGACTGATACACAAATCGCGAATAATTAGGCTACTCGTTGGTACGGTTAATTGATAATTTTTAGGGAAACGTAAGAGCGCTAACTTGCACGTTAATAGATTAGGTGCGACAGGTGTGACAGCTAGGTGTCACGACTGGATAACTGTTGGGACACGCATTTTACGTACGCATAAATCCGTATAAAAAAAAAAAGATCTTAACTCTTCTTGCTACCATCACGCAACATAGATCAGACGATCTTCGACATAATCTAACACAACTTCTCTCGTGCGTCGATAGAGAAACTTCGCGTAAACAGATTCGAAAGTTATTCCGGGCTTGCATCGGCTAAAAAACATCCCCGTGCAACCACCCCAGGTCTAAATCGCGGGTCTGGGAGCCTCTTACGTATTACACCAGACCCGCAAAACTAATTCCCAACAAGTTACGTGAGCAACGCGAAATTAATACGAACGCGAGACTAGATGGTCGAAAAGATAATACTGTTAGTAGATCGTAAATCGGTTTCGCGACAGGTACTCAAAAGAGAGAACAAAAATTCACTAAAGTTTAGGCTAGTCGTAAGTCGTAAGCGGCAGAAGCGTAACCGCAAGAAGCTAGTCCGTTCGCGTAAGATCACGCAGGGAGTTTTTAAGCGAGAGCTCCGAGCTCAATCTCGGGCCGACAGAAATTGTCGGAAATTGAGTATCGACCAACTTAAGCGATGGAACAACGATAACGATCAATCAGAACCAGCGCAGGGACTAGTTTAGAGTCATACGCCCTCCGCAACAGCCTTGTACCTCATTACGCGCCTCTGAAACTGTGCGCGATTTACCAATTATACGCAATATATCGATTATTAACGATTACCTGCGATCTCCGCACATCGCGGGTGACTCGCGACAAAGAAATTCTTCCCTTTTCGCTTCTTCAATAATTAAGGACACGCGTTTTTCAACGACCGTTCTCGACGGTAGTTGATTCACTGAGATGGGCACTAACTGGCAAATTAACTAAGGATCCGGTTAATATTATCCGTTTAAGATTATCCGTGTGAGTAGTTTAAGATTATTCCGCACAAAACATAAGTAATAAGCTTAACATTCTGATCTAAAACATACGCATAAATTGAGGTAAATAGCGTGTAAGGTTTACTCGAATCCTAAGTAATCTTAAGTTGTAGGATTATAATATAGGATTACGATAGGATTATAATAAGGATGTGATCCTTATTGGTATCCTTCATCCTTCTCAAACCAAACACAAACTAATTAGTGCGTAAGTGAGGATGCGAGGATAAACGGGGTAATCCCGCGGGGGGTGCGGTACACACTCGCGAAGAAGCGCAACACGGGAATATCATACGTGCTACCGTACTTTTATGTAGGAACGTGAAGATCCGCGATTGATTTACTCGAAAGATCACCGGACTATTCCGTATATCGCCCGAGTCGACTTCTGATTCAGCGCGAGTCGCGGGTCCATCTTAAATAGCCGCGACGCGGAGGTGGTGTTTTCCTACGATATCACGTGACGTTTCACTGACTGTCCTGTCCAAGAATACATCGACTTCGAATACAGACGAGATTTTGGTCGAGATCGACTCCGCCGTTTTCTTTCCCGCGACAACGGCATTTCGGACGGCATTTCTTGCTACTTTTCGCGAAGCTACGATTTTTAGGATCGGAAATCCCTCTCGCTGACCCGTCATCCCGCGATTGCCGCGAGGCGTAGCGATCTCACGATCCGAATTTGGGCTGCCTGTAACGAATCGACGGTGTTGTCTTTATGAGGCAGACCCGAGTGGAGTCGATTCTATCCGCGAAACCGTCTGACTGTTCGAGCAAACGTCATCGATTCGTTATCGAGCCTTCCCTTGACGTTTGAATGCTGCTTCCGTCAAGATCGCGGAATGGCGTAATAGTAGGCGATCTAACGCATTGTGCTCAGTGCGTTATTCTGAACGGTCATGCTTAAAAAAAAAGAACCAACACGGAAATCCTAAGAGTGGATCGGAACGAATAATCTCGTCATCGCGACGCGTTACATCTTTTGTACTATAATGAATTAAAAGAACTGATCGTTCCGTCGTCTGCATCGCACCAAACGGGGGACTCTGAAGCTTCTCTCGCTCCCACCGTAATTCGCTTAGCAAACCTTCCTAGAAATAGAGAAATCGACTGAAATAGAAACAGCGCGTCTTCGATCAGTCGCGATGATCAGCTAAAATGTCGACTTATTCCGGAAATCATGGCACACACCCGGGACACTTTAGTTGCCGCGAATTAAAGATCGAATTAACAGGCATAGATGATATCACGGAGAAATATTAGATCGGAGAGGTACCAGAAATTTTTTAGGCACGGAGAGTGCTAAGAGCGCGTTCTGAATGCTATAACGCCTACACGCGTGTTATTTTAGGATATTGGATTATACGCATTTTTCTTAGAATACGTTTTCCTTCGATTTGCTTCTTTCTCGTTTCAGCATGCATACGGAAAGTTATGATTAAACGCCGGCGTTAAGCTTTGCGCGACAATTAACGACGCACACTTTCGTCGAGCCATTATCTTCAAACTTCAAGTACACTATTAGAGATTATATCATTTTGGCCGCGGAAATCTCAGCGCGAGATTACGCAGGAGCACGTTGATATAATGTAGGGTCTAAAATAGATTATAGTCACTTTCTACGTGATCGGAGTGCGTTGCTTCGCGCGAGCACAAGTGCGTGGCAATATACCGAATCGTGATGGTCGTACGTCCACTACACGTCCGATCAGTTATTGAACGTGTCGCTTCGCGCGAGGATAACCGGGATGTAAGGCAGGAAAAATGTAAAACTATAACAATGACAAAAAATGACGTGCACGTCACCAAAAAAAAAAAATAAAAATAAAAAGATACAACTTAGGTATATGTGTATTTCTATATTTAATGCTAATAATAAGATTAATACTTAGGGAAAGGTGTTGTATGCTAGGCTACTTTGTTACTCCGCGAATTCCGTCTACTAGCGGCAAGTGCTAACGAAGCAATCTCGAAATAGCTCCCGATTCACGTTTCGTTTAAAAATACGCCACTTGTTACCAAAAATGAACAATACGTTGAGCAAACAGTTGCATTTCTGCTAAATGAATAAATTTCAAACTCACGCAACCAAAACAAAGAAGATGTATCTGTAATGTTGAAGCTGGACGATAACCATTATCGAAATATCTTGCCGATCAGAAGCGAAAAATAGTTTTAGGACTTCGAAACAAACGGTTATCCATGGCAAATCTTGAATTTCGGCAAAATTATTTATGTTCGATTAAAAGACATGTCTGAAAAGAAAGAGCTTAGGCAAATTCTTAGATCCGGCAATGCACTTGTTGTAGGTTGCACTGAAAACGCGGGTAATTTAGCGTTAAGCGTAATTCCTAGATCTTCGGACGAATCATACTATGTGGCATTATAATAGTAACGATAAGCAACAGTGTTTGTAATGCGTCCGAGACTTGTAATAATCGATAATTCCAAGCTGGAGTCTTACCTTAAGGAGGATTCGTGTCTTTATAATCTTCACCTTTACTCCGAGATATTGTCGTAAAATACTCCGTGTGTTTACGTGTCATAAACGTTTTCGAATAAACTCTAAAAATGACTCGTTACTCTGATTGTCGCTAGGGATTAAAAAAAAAAATGAAGCTAAATGTCTCGTCGATACTGGATAAAACGACCATATGATCATCCGTGCGTCCCGTAGGGAATATTATGATGTTAACACATATGTATACTTGTAAGCATATGTCAGCATACGTAAGAATCTTTACGATGAGTGTGACTTAGTAACCATCTGTTAGGCTGATACTTGTAACTCGATAGGCTATTGATGTTATTATACTCATCCACTTTGATTTGTAACGTGCATAAGTGTAATTATCGTTCTTAGATGCAACAACGTTTATGTCAGGGCAGTCCTAGGATTGAGAAAAAGCGAATGCGTATTTCCTGTATTCAACAAAAGACAAAAGCGAAAAATTTGTAATTTGCATAACTGAGACCATATCTACGCTCTGTTGATGAAAAAATTGTGAAAAATTCTATCTCGATACGGCTTACACTTTATACCTGGTTTTATTTAATTCTGTATTTATGCAGCGCATAGAAATAGGCCCTACGCCATTTCTCTGGCTGAAAGAAACAATAAAGTGAAATCCGACACACATAGTGTATTTTCTTTCAACTTGTAAGTTATATACCAGTCCTTCTAAGTAATAAGTCGTCGCCGAAACTTAATGAAAAAAATTAGACGAGGGATCGAGTTCTGGCTATAAGAAATCAGAATTGATTCAAATGCAATGTTGTTATTTATTTGTTGTTCTCAAATGCACAATATAATGACCAACATGCATAAACACAGCGAAGACTTCATTCGAAGTAACATAGTCATCGGAGCTGCATATACAAAGGTATTTCTTTCTTAATATTATAAGCACCTTACTAATGTGCATCGTTTGTGTTTAAAATAGTAATACGGCGAGTGTCATTGAGGGGAATGAAAGTTATATATAAATAATGAGGATGCTGATGGCGCGTAAAACGGCGAATTACATGTATTTTCTTAGAAACGACTCTCGAGAACACACACGACGTCGTTGCTCTATCCTTAAATACATAAATACTATACACGTCTTTGCGAGATAATCGCAGCGTAAATATTACATAACGAGACACAAGAATGAAACGAGACGCGCTTTTCAAGATAATCGCGGTATTTGCATCTCGGGATGTTGCTGTAGCTTCTCGACATCTTGTAAAGTGGATATACCCTGTTCCTGTAAGACACACAATTGAAAAGGAAATACGTCAGTGAACTTTGAATTATAAATAGAGATTTAAATATTTGATGTTTCTTTTTTTATTTTTAAATTTTGGCATGATATTACGAATTAACGAACGTTATTACATAGTATAGCGATTTTGAATTAATTAACTCGAAGCAATTGAATTGTAAATTAAATTAAGAAAACTGTTGTCTTACATTATACTCTTTCCACTTCTCGTAATTGTGTCGCATATAGCCCACTATTTCTGGCATGTCAATGAACACTGCGAAACAAATGGCAAAAGTAACAAAACTCAAATATCAATATTTAATAAAGATTTTAAAATAATGAAGAGAACGAACCATCCCAAGCCTCGATCATATCGTTAATGATATAATCGACAAAACCGATTTGCGATTTCGGTATCGAACACGTCATTCTATCGAACATCGGCATTACGACTGGCATTTTCAACTTTTTCTCCTCGTCGGTCTGAAAATTATCAATAATTATTTGAACGCAAGAGTAGCGAATTATCTTTCCTGCAATGAACGATCCCAATTAATAATTATCAAAATATTCACCTGATTAAAATATTCCTCCGCGATTCGTCTCGCCCATTCGACGCAACATTTTAATGGCCGCGTTGGGTTAGATACGTCCGCGCATTTGATCATCATTCTTTTAACCAGTATTACATTATCTGGCTGTAGAACCACAGACATGTCCAAAGAATCTGAATAAGTCTGCGAAAGATTTTTTCGAAGTTAGATTTTTGTTCATTATTCTGCACACGTCTTAGAACGGTTTAAAATTATAAATTTAAATAAAATTATAATAAATTATGATAAATTTAAATAGAATTAAGATTGCATCTATACTACATATCTATATAAAAATTGAATTTTAAATATTTGTAAAATAATTTTTGAAATACTAAGAAATTAAATTGATTCTTAATGCATTTATGTTCATGTAATAAGGATATAAAAAATTATACTTTTAAATATTAAGAATTATATATATAATTAGATTTCTCTTATATTGATATACTGATAATCCACATAACTATAATATCAATTAGGAAGGTAATGAGCATAGTAATATATCATAAATTTTAAGTTATAACAGAAAATTGTGATAATTAAATATAAAATAGGATTTTCACAAAATAAGAATATACCTCTTGGCCATCGCCAATTCTTGCGCTACAAACATTCATGAACTTTGCCAGGTGCTCAAAGTGCTTCGTCATTTCGGTCGCCAGAATCATGTCAATGACATTTTGTCGTAACAGTTTGTACGCATCTCGGTCCAGATTCTAAAGCAAGCATTCAATTTGGTATTACACCTTCGGATTTTTCTACACGCTCGCCTTTAGAATAGCGATACATAGGGAATGCATGAGAAGAAACTTACTTTAAAGATGTTTACACTGTCGTCAGAGAGTGATAGTTTAAACGTTAAGGCTGCGTGATGCGATTCGAGAACCGACAGATCATTATAGAGTATTGCCAAACGACTGTTGGCATTGCAAAGAAACTGACTGGAAAAGAATTTAAATTCATTAGATTATCAACTATGCTTATTTAATCGCAAGTTTACATATTTTTGACAAATAATAAGTGTCAATTGAATTTTGCTTAAAAATTTATTTTAAGTCTGTAGAAAAATAATTAACCAAAAGAAAATTCTGTCAAGTTTTCTTGCTTTTTACATTTTTGTTAATATATTCTCTTAGTACTAAAAGTAAGTCTCACCTGGACCGTCCAGGATGATCAATATCGTGCGCGGCAGCGGCTATTAAAGCAGCAACCTCATCTAAAGGCTCTAAGATTTCTTTGAGCCTCTTCGATTGCATAAATCTCGCAGTGGCTTGCATGACGTCGGCCGCGTGCGTCGAGTTGTGATAGCTATTCTCCGCGTTGTAACTGTGCTCGATGATGGCTAGCCAGTTCTGCAACGTCTTCTCATCGCAATGTAACGTAGCGGGCACTTGGTACAAATTCATGATCGTCAATCCTAGAAAAACGAGCGGCCTGCAACAAATCAAAATGCAAACTTTTAGGCATAATATACCTTTGTAAGGAAGAAATGTAGGAACGTCATGACGTCTGTTTTAGATTAATAATTGCAAAACGTTACATGTCGCGTTGGCAGTTCGTATGACCCACCTTTTCTCCGTCAGCACTTCAAGCTTGAATATCTCGAAATTCCAGTCGAGACTGTTGTCTAGTATGTCCATGAGTTCTTGCGGCCCCCGAAAATTTTTCACCTGCACACGTGAGTTGGCTGGATACGCGATAGCTTTGATAGTGGACAATCTCGCGGAATCTGACGACGACCTTCTAGATTCCCACGCTGTGCGCGGAGACTGTCAATCAAACAACAAAAGAGTCGATAGAGAGAGAGAGAAAAAATCTCGAGCGGATAAACGCGCGTGATTTCTGTTTGTTGCAAGTCTATTAATTTCTTTATACGAAATGAAGAGCGGCACAATTCTTACGGCAAGTAACGCGCCAACGAGATCCGTGGCAACCGGATCACTGTACATTGCTCTATCTTCCTTAAGATGCGGCACGTAGAGCTCCGTCGTCTTTAGGATATCGATTGCCTGCGGAAGACGCAGAAGATGTAGCAGCGTATATTTAATTGGACAGAACGCGACTATATATATATATAAGACAATACGAGCATCTCGATTAATCACGTACTTTATCGATCTGCGCTGCTGTTTCCGGATTAGTCGTATCCGTGACCGCGTTCGAAAGTAACGTGATGACTTTAGTGATAGGAGCTTCCAGTTGCAAAGTGTGCAGTTTCTGCAAGCTGGACCGCCTACGACCTGTTACAAAAACATAATCTTTTTTTTAGGGATCGATACATTAAAAGAAAGATTACAGCATGTAATAGATTTAAAACCTTTGGAGATAACTGTGCAAATTAACATTATAGAAATATCAAAATCTCCGCATCAGAATATGCATGCTAATAGGATGCTACGCATAATTTTAATTTTTTGAAAATGTATTAGCGACGTAGATTAATTAGAGAGATAAATGCATGAAGAGCGCTTTCGCATTAGCCAAGCTATAGCAGGTGCGCCCCAGTTTTGTGCTATTAAATTTCTTGACATGTTTACGGCGATATGTAAGGTTGATATCGGCGCGATAATGCTTTAACGTAAAAATACGTGCCGCAAAATGCACCATAAAATTGCCGGTGACCTAATTTGTGCCTTACAACGTTCATTTTTATATCGAAGGACATTTCAATAAAGTGAGAGAGAACAAAATTATTTGTATTAATAACTTTTTCTAATTATTGTTGGTGCAATTCATTGATATTAGCGACGTTATTCATTACATATATGTAGAAGTATCTTCTTACCTTCGCTTACGCCAGATCTGACATCTGAAGATTTCCGCGCGTTCGATAATATACTCGTTTTAAGAGGAGGATGCAACGGGCTGCTAGCCGGGCTTATTGGCGCTGAATTTTCCGAAAGATACGTAGTGTCGTATACGTATATGTAATGACTTGGTTTCCTGAAGACAGATATGACGATTAATTGGAATAGCTTGTTATAAAATAATAAATAGAGTGTGTATTTTAATAATGATGATACTATGCGTATCAAAAGAGATGGCTTAAAAAATGTTAAAAATTTTAACGAAATCAATATAAAGAAATAAAATGTTATGACAAAAAAGGATATTAAACTTTTTAGATTATTACGTCAGTAGAACGTACTTTAATGTGATACAGAACGGAATTATCCTGCAATTGATCGTAATCATTTGATTGTTTTTCCTCTTGCAATTCATATTCCCTTCGAATTCCCGACCTTTAGCCAATTGCTGCTCCATGAGAGCGGAATTTTCGTAGAATACTATTTCCGAGAGATTTCTTCCCATCATCTCCTCCGTCTTATATCCTAACAATTTTTCGCTGACTTTATTTAGAAACTAAAAACAACGTGAAATTATTGTCTACATATAAATATTTGTATTTTACATAGTATAAAATGTATAATACATAATGCATAAATTATATGTACAATAAGATAAAATTTCTTCATTTCAGCTGAAAATATTGAGAATGACTGTGCAAAATATGAGGATTGGATATCAATATTTACAATACCTGTACAATATTCTTATCATTGGTCACATGCACCATATCGCGACACCTGTCAAGTGCCAAATATAATGCATGCGCTGCTGCTAGTTGAGTCCTTGGCAATAATGAGCTAGTGTATATCCCTACTAATTCGTTTATTAATATACCTTCGTGTGAACATTCTATCAGTGCCTGAAATACAAGCGAAACTGAGTAAAGAACCCAGTAAAAAAACCTGTCTATAAATCTTTTTTTTATGTGCTCCTAAAGCACTCTTATGTGTGAACAAACACTCACTCTGCTAAAACCTGTTTCTAGCAAGTTCAATGCCACAATATGGTCTTTCTCATCGAGCATGAAGTATCTAAAAGGTATGCAAGGTCCCCAAACGTTAAAACGAAAGTAAAAATAAATTAAATCGTATGCGAAAAAATATATTGGCAAACTTACGATTTTTTCACGAGCGCTATAATGACAGAATTGTGATAAACCGGACTTGATCTGATTGCTCTAAAATTTAATATTTTTAATATTTAAATAAAGTTATAATGCAAGAAGAACGTGTAAATAATTTATTACACATTACATAAAAACTAATTAATAAAATGTTTTTAAATAAATTGGTTTTTTGGGCAGAAATCTTTTTTTTTTCTCTAGATACTACATTTATTAGATTTTATTTAAACGAACTGCCATACCTACAAATAGCATCGCCTTCGGCCGCGTGATGTCCCCTGTGATCGATAATTACTAATTCATGAGCACGATTTTGGAAAAGTTCTATTGCTTTCTCCGCGTCTTTCGCCACCGACACGCTCCACCCCAATCTTCTCGCGGTATTAGCAAGTATGTCCAATTGCGGGTCATCTTTGCTAAAGACTAATAATATCTGCGCAGTGGAGAAGTTTGACAGAAGTATGAAAAACAAAACTAATGCATTAGTGGCACCAAAGGTCGAATATTTTATTGACGATAATTTTACCGTGAATCTTTCTCGGACGGAGCAATACTTACTTTTACGATACTAGGAACGTTGGTTGTCAATAAATAATTACTAAGATCTTGAGGCCCCTTCTGCAAACAGAAGAAAAAGTAAATCACGAAGCTGAATAAAATAAATTCACGATTAAATGGGTTAAAGGGTCAAAGGTTAAAACTTATCAGTTCTTTATTATTCGTAATTTGTGCATGTTTGCCATGAGTAATGCCTTTATTTAACCAAATCTAATCAGAGACTTAATATTAATGCATCGATATCAGGGTGTCGGATACATACTGATTCCTCTTTATCTAGATACATCGATTCAAGTAGTTGGTAAATTTTCGCCCGACGACGCGCACGCGGAGATGCCTCCACATTTTTTGCGGCTTTATTACACGTAACCTGATCCTTCATTTGCGATAAATTAACAGCCGTATCGTATTAATCTAGGTTTTATGTGTCAAAGATGTGACGATAATAACGATAATAACGAAGTCAGCAGTTTTATGTACATTTCCAATTGATAAAAATAGTCGATAAAAAAACGAGTAGTCAACCACTACGAGTTATCGCAAACTCTTGCTGCTTTTGTAAAAAATCTATATGCATTTACTGCGCATTAGAGATACGTCGCAGATTATTTTCGCGATGCTCACGAGAGAGCAGTTAATTTATTATCCCGCGAGTACTCTTTAGAAACATGAAATTACGAGTATATAACAAACGTGCCGGAAACGATGATTGGTAATAAATTCGTACCCTAATGCGTGTTGCCAGTTGCGAAATCAATTTAGCCACTTGCATCGTATTTTTAGTGAACCACCATCTCCTTTGCCTGCACACGACACTGAAGACGCTACTACACTACGACTGCAATTCTTGCGAATGTTACCGTCGTCAGTTCCGTCACGTATACATAAAGCACTCGTAAAGGCAACGTCTATTCATTTTTCAATGTCTCATTAACGTTGAGGATCGTTGAAGTAAAATAGCATAACTGCATAAATGATGTATTACACTGCACATTGGCAGCCAGATCTACATATGTATATTAATTATTTCATATAGCATTTACTTATTTTTTTTTGTTATTTCTCGAAATGAATATTTTAATTTATGTACGTCTTTTACATACTTTTTCCGGGTCATTTTATAATAAGTACTTCATATTTTAATACCATCGTTTAACTTTATCAAATCATTGCACAGAATCGCACAGAACGACACGTTTAAAGAGAGGATTTTCGCGACACTGATCATCGATCAGTAGATAACGAAATCGATATATTCGCTCGTTGTATCAAACCAGAAGTCGTCTATCTGCGATAAGGCGTCTGGGTGCATACCAGAGTTCCTATAACGATAGTATTTTTTTTATTAAAAAGCCGGATAAAACTTTACGGAAAAAAGCGTTTATAAATAAGTTTTATCGTGCACTTCAAATAACACATGTGTATATACAGCATGACGATATTCTTAGCATGACATCACATGCATTTTCATTCTGAGAGAAAATTATTAGCTCCATTATTTTTCAAAAATATTTTTATGTATCCTTAATATAAATCTTATCATCCACACATATTCTTAGCAAAAATTGCTCTATAAATCTTACATTTATTTACCTTTTACAATAAAAATCAAACAGACATCGTAAATTTGCGATAAGTTCAATTTTGCCACGCTTTCCAGCGGCTTATTGTACAGATATACCATTTGAGTCATTACAGTTGATCCCTCGTGGATAAAATACGGAATTAGAGAGACATTTTATGGTCAGTTCAGAATATTACATTCTCGATCTTTTTTGCGCTCCAAGCGAGAAGATAGCTGCTAATTAAAAAAAAGAGAACTGTACGCTAGGACGAAGCAGAGCGCGTAGGATACGTGTTCGTTTTTTTAATTGTTCGACGAAGGTAAATCATAGGTAGGGTTGAAAAGTTCTGCTGTATTCAGATAGGGAAAGTTCTGCGACCGAGAAAAAAGCTCCTTGCGACGTACAGAACAACGGTCGTCCTGCTATCGATTCGCCGCCCGCGAGTTACGTTCGCGGGTAGTAATAAACGTCTCCTATAGACGTAAAGTGTAACAGTGACTGAAAACACGAGTGACAATTGCAATTATCTTACGTACATTTTTATATAAACTTAGAAGAGAAATCATACAAGAGAAATCATGGAGGAAAACAATATTATACACAGTGAACGAAAACATTCACACAAAAACAGTGCAGAAAATTGGAATCGTTCTATCAACAGGTTGTTAAACGCAAACGTCCGTTTAACTTGACGCAACGTGCTCGCTTTTAGCCTATAGTATCAAACTTAGTCTAACTTTTTCGCGAAACACACGCCGCTCCCGCCGATAATTCAATCAGAATAATTGCCGTGCGTGACAACTCCCGACAATTGTGTTATCACTCGGACTGCCGGAGAGCGCATAAGTACGAGCACGTTCGCGAGACAACGATTAACAGAGGGGAACGGCAGCGAATAAGTGAATAAGACAAAAGAGTGACATCGTCGCGTTCGGAACACGCGCCAAACTTCTGCTTAACTAGACACTTCTTCTGGCCGCACAGACGAACTATATAAACTCCCGGCTCGTTCAACGCCGACGATCGGGAACGTCGGAAAATAATAGAAAGTTTATTGTACGGCAACTTTACACTTTCTTCAGCGGGGGCTCACCAGAGCTGACGTGTCATCGGTGCCGTCGTATTGATCGACTCTTTCTCCGCTTCGGCTTCAATTTTTCCCGAACGCGTGTAGTGCGTAACTTGATTAGCACCTTCCTCTTACTTGATATTTTTCGGATAGTCCGAAAGGCGCTCGACAATCGCGTGCACTCGCACATCCGCATACTTTAAACGAGCGGCTCCCGACTGTTCTTCGTCCGGCCGGCCGCGCTCTACCAGAGACCGTCTATAGACAGTCTATAGACCATGCGTCTATAGTCGTTCCCGCGAGCGGAGCGGCGAGATCTTGACTCGTCGAGGAGTAGCGGCCAAATGAGGGAGTCGTACTCACCGCGATTGCGCGGCGCGAATCAATTATTCAGCCCGCGCTTATGCCAGCGAACGTTGATGCGCGCCCGAACAATTTTCATATTTAATCGGACCATCGGGGGGATGACTATCGGGCCGATCGAGCATTATACCCTGTCGTCACCCCCGCGCGAAACTTTGCGGTAAACGTCGCGCGAATTATTGAAAAGGGTTGGTCGCGCGGTGGAAAGCCGCGTCAGCGATACGCAGAAGAAAAAAAACCTACGTATATTTAGAATCACTGCCTCGCGAAGCTTTTATCGCGGGGAAGAGGGGCCTTGATTGCAGGGTTTCTCGACGGTACCCTGTGAGAACGGAGAGGGCTGACGCCGACTGCCACTCTTCGCTAGATTATTTCTCCGCTTTTTTTCTTTATCTCTCTTTTTTTTCTTTTCGCTGCGTTCCCTTAACGATTGAATATTCCCCGCGAGCGGGATTTGCGCCGTCTCTCCCTTTTCCAGCTATTTATGCACTTCCGCTTTTTTTCATGAACTTTCCTTTTGCTGGATATAATTTCAATTTTCTCTCTTACACGTTAAAAATTCTTTAAACAATCCGGACGATTGTGTTGATACTTTATAAACGAATAATATAATATTATCGAGAATTTTTTAATAGATACTCTTCCATGTAAAAGCCAAAAGGATGCAGAACATAACCAGGAGTAGAGATATAAAAGTAAAAGAGATGTAGAAGTAAAAGAGGTGATAACAATACATTTTTACATTAAAGACATAGCAAATTAAAACCGACGTTTATAGATTGAATATTTAGATAAATATTTATAGCGAAACTTCATATAATGCTGATTATACATTTATTAAATATGTAACTTTGCTCAGTCATTTAATATATCGTTTAATTTTGGATTCTGAGTTTTTCATATGAATATAATGTTAAAATATATTATATATTTGCTAATATTTTTATTATTAGATTGTTAGATGATTAATATTCTCTAATATACTCTACATTATTAACGATGTTATTGAAAATTAAGAAGGAATCGGCAAAGATCGATGCAGTATCATCGAAAACTGGCCTACCTCTTATCCGTATTCAAAAATATAAAGTGGAACAATGCCTAGGCGATCCTTATCTTTGATTACGAATGTTAAAGAGTCTAGATAGCAGACCTGATTAATAGGAATGCGATAACGCGCGACTACGTCACAAGCCGCGTCATCTATCGTCAAGTGCATCGTCTTTATGCGTATACTTGCTCGGAAAGTCCGATAAAATATCATTGTATCTTTTGTTATTTGTTATATCGATTAATTATAGAGAACATTTGAAGTTTATTATATTCTCACATAACTAACAATTAACTTGATAATTTTAAAGCTTGAAGATTAATTGTTTTAAGAAATGTATTGAAGATTTTCTATGTTATAAACATATCGATTATTTACAGAATAATAAATCGGAGAGTAATACAAATAAATTATTCGATTATTGCGTGATTTTTCAAGCAATTTATAAAAAATAGAAAAATGACATTCACACAAAATATTTTTTAATACCTATTCTCTTCATTAAAAAATTAACGATATCATAAAAAATTAAAAGGAAAACGATGATCGATGCTAACGATGATCAACAAAAACTAGGCTATCATAATAACAATAAGAAAGCAACTTACAATGGTCAAGTAATCGCCGTTCTCGTCAAGTGTGCTGTCCTGGAAAGGTGTTTTTTCATCCTTTTCAGCCACAATATCAAGCGCATCCGTCTTACCTGAAACAATATCATTGAATATTCAATTCAATTACGATCAAGCTCGAAACCCGAACAGTGTTATTTCAAATAATCGAAAGTTCTTAGCAACAGGTAGTTGCTAAGCGTGACCATAGCTTCGTAATTGATGGTCTGCCGACTCTAAAGCCAAGCTTGATTCCATGTAATAAAGCTAGTACTCTCTATTCGTACATACGTGTATTGGTTTATGAACCTACATCGGGCATTTTCCTAGTCGCGCTCAATTTATCAATTAACGTGATCCGGTTGTCAATACATTAGTAATTATGGTAACGAAGCTTGTTAGAAGTGCATTCACTTATGCGTATCTTATGAGGTTTATGGGTCACACTATAGCATTTATTGCAATTAAAAGCTAATTGGATTTAATGGACAAGGTGAATTGATCTATATTGCTTCAATTTTTAAAAGACTGTTCTATTTGCAGGATGACGTACTTTATTACAAAATAATTGCGTAATGCACGCACGTGTATTTAATGGCGCCAAAATGGAGTTTGAGAGATTGGATACGATCATTTACGCACCGAATAAATGATTTGGAAATAATTCATCCTCCAAGCTGTCTTCGTCCTCGCTTGGGAAGAAATACTCATTCGGCGGCGATGCCATATGAATTATGCTTTCGGCCTTGCGATCATTGAGTTAAGCGGGGCTACATGATCTCACGCTGTTTGAAACTATATTTCTTTGCGTCTGCTTTCATTACACTAACAGCGTTATATTGTTACATGCCATTGTTTACACTGAACATTTGTCAAAGAATTTTTCTTTCAAAAGATCACTGAAATCCACACTAATGAGACAAGTTTTTACATTCTTAAAAGCTGAAATTAATTTTAATTATTTAAATATCAGTAGATATATTATTAATTTCAAACATTTTTTATCACATATTATTATTAAAAGCAATTTATTAATTTTTTACATAATAATATATTAGAAATATGGCATTAAAATTATTTTTTACGTACGAATTAATATTGTAGTTATAAATGTTTTATATTTTGATTTGTCAATGCAATCGATGGTTTTTCTCTTTATATAAAAATAGAAATTACTTAATTTACATAATATAATAAAATATATTTGTTATTTTTAAATGTATAAATATGCCGAAAAAAAGTTAAATTTATATAATTTGTATATTTGTATAGAGAATTGAATTTGGCTTCGTAATTTATAAATTGCATGAAAAATCAAATGCTTTTGAATTGAAATATAAATAAAAGTATATTGCACTTTAATTGCAAAGTTATATTATAAACGTATTTGTTATAGTGAAATGATCAGAAAGGATTCATTATATATCACGTTATACATTAATGATGTAATCTTAATTGATGCAAATAATCATCGAAGTCTTATCAATCATTAATTTCGGAGATGTTGACTCAGTTATCTGAATAGTCATCTAGAATATCTAGATTTAAATAAGTCGATCAATAGATTATTTCCGTTCCAAAGGTCAAGATTGTCTAAAAAAATCGTACAATTTTTAATTATAAATTATTTCGTAAATTTCTTGTTGAAAAATAATATCAAAGTTGTATCTATCATATATTCATTTCTATTCTAGCAGCAAAAAATAAAAATTAAAGCTATTTTTATTAGTACAATTTCTTTAAAATGTTGTTAATTTTTTGCAGTAAATTATTGTCAAAGAAGAAACATTACCAAAAGTCTTCACATTTTTAAAAAATTTTTAACCACATACATTTATCAAGTCAAACAATTGAGTGTAAATTCTTCTGTTTGGCTTTTCTTGTCACACCTCATTATTTAAATATGTTTAAAAATATTAAAGAATGTAATTAGAATTCGCTAACAAACAACACACGCACTCGAAACGGTCAGTTTTCGTGAGGTTTCACAATTAACGACACTGACGTACAATTTGTCCCGACGTTGTTTGTGAACATTAAAATTGCGAGTAAATTAAAACGACGATAAAAAACGTGTTGTACGTGTGCGCCGATGCCGAACGATGCGTCGTTTGCGGCCCAAAGACAGCGACTGACCGAGAACACTGAATCGACCAAGTTAAAATTCTACTCGAGAGTGACTGGTCCCAGAAGAGCGACGCGATAGCGTTGTCGGGGAGACCGGAGATACTGCAGGTCTATTTAACATGATACACGGACAGAAATATGTACCGTGTCGAACTGAGTTTCAAAAGAAGTGGAACGTGATTTCCCTGAGGTAGATGAGAATTAGGAATAAAACGTCGACAAAATAATTAAAAATATTAAAAAAAAAAAACTACGTCACATACAGAGGTGATAAATGATAAAAGTCAAAGATTGGATATTATTTGATATGTAGAAAATGCAAAGTATCAAAACTATTAGATTATTTTCCCCGAGGTAGATGGGAATTAGGAATAAAACGTTGACAAAATAATTAACAATATTTAAAAAAAAAAACTACAACACATACAGAGGTGATAAATGATAAAAGTCAAAGATTGGATATTATTTGATATGTAGAAAATACAAAGTATCAAAACTATTAGGTTATTTTAAAAATATACATATAGATATTGTCACGATCACAAGCAATTAAATTTAAGAGAATAAAATTAAACAGACAAAAAAGAATCTACAATTAGATATTTACTCATAATTCTAAACTGAAAGTTTAAACCACAATTATGTGACAATTGTTTAGGCCAAAATGAATACCATTACCATAGGCCATAGGCATTAATATAAATTTATTTTAATAATCTTAGATCTGATAAGATAAAAATTCAAGCTACCTGTAGCTTGCTTACGTGTTCATAAGAGCAAAAACATTATAGATATCATCATATTAGTTAAGTGACTTACACAGGAGTCGTGCTTATCGATTTTATATGAACATTAATGAAATTA